ACTAGTTTTTTGGCGCCAAGATTCTGATGCTGTAGCTAAACACTCAGAAGCCTGTAATTCCAACTACTCAGGAGGCTGAGGCAGGAGGATCCCTTGAGATCAGGATTTAGCTACCAGCAGTGAGACCATATCTCAAAAAAAAAAAAAAAAAAAGATTCTGATGCTAGGAGGTCTGGTTCTAAAGGGCATGCAAATAACCATTACACTATTATTAATAATATAAGATATGCCAAGGTGGAGTCTAGCTCTGTCACCCAGGCTGGAGTGCAGTGGCAGGATCTCAGCTCACTGCAACCTCCACCTCCCGGGTTCAAGCGGTTATCCTGCCTCAGCCTCCCAAGTAGCTGGGATTACAGGCACCCACCACCATGCCCAGCTAATTTTTGTACTTTTAATGGAGAAAGGGTTTCATTATGTTGGCCAGACTGTTCTCGAACTCCTGACCTCGTGATCCACCCGCCTTGGCCTACCAAAGTGTTAGGATTATAAGCGTGACACTCAATAGTATTTATTATGTACTATGTAATTAACTTATACCACAAGAACTTAGAAGTAAACAAAACAGACATGGCTCCTGCCCTTCAGAACAGAAATCTTAAATGGATAATTAATCAATTAATTGTTTATAGTAAATTATGAGTGTTACTAAAGATAAGTAAGAGGTGCTATGAGACTTATATGATAGAGACTTCAAGCCCTTTCAGAAGATACTGTGAAAGTAAGGGACTTTATTTTAAAAACGTCCTCCAGCTTAGGCAACAGAGTAAGACTCCGTCTCTTAAAAAAAACTTTTTTTAAATGAAAATAGCCGGGCATGGTAGCAGGTGCCTATAGTCACAGCCACTCAGGAGGCTGAGGCAGAAGAATCCCTTGACCCCTGGAGTTCCTGGCAGTATGCTATGATTGCTGTGAGCAGCCACTGCACTCCAGCCTAGACAACATAACGAGATCTTGTTTCTGCAAAAAGAAACAAAAAAACTTCCTATTTTTTTGTCTCTTCAATTTCTCTTTTTTCTTTCTACTTAGTGTTTTTCTCCTGCTTTTCCTTTGTCTTCTGTGCTCCTCTTCTAATTTTCATCTCAGCAGTGACCTAAATCTGTCTTCTTGTAGGTTAAGCCTTCTTTAACGTATTTGCCATCTGTTCTCATTGTGGCTCTGAAGCACAAGGTTTTATCCTCTGGTAATTTTTCATTAAGCTAATCTTTGTACAGCTTACAAAATGCTTTTTTAGTTGACAAGTGTCACGTTTCATTGTTAGTACTTATTTTACTATTATGGTAGAAACTGAACTTCTGAGCAAATCTAAACGGTATAAAAATACTGTGTGAACTATCTGGCCCACATCTTTTAAAATATAAAATTTATCTAGGGACCTTTTTATTGAGAGGGAGTCTCGCTCTGTAGTCCAGGTTGGAGTGCAGAGGTGCAATCTCGGCTCACTGCAGCCTCCCTCTCCCAGGTTCAAGCGATTCTCCCACCTCAGCCTCCAGATAGCTGGGAATACAGGAGCTCGCCACCACGCCTGGCTAATTTTGTATTTTTAGTAGAGACAGGGTTTCACCATGTTGTCCTGGCTGGTCTCATACCCCTGACCTCAACTGATCCACCCACCTCTGCCTCCCAAAGTGTTGGGATTACAGGAGTGAGCCGCTGCACCTGGCTTGGTTTGTTGTTGTTGTTTTTAAACACTGTCTCACTCTATGGCCCAGGCTGGATTACAGTGGCGCCATCTCAGTTTACGGCAACCTCCACCTCTTGGATTCAAGTAGTAATCTTCCCACCTCAGTCTCCCGGGTAGCTGGGAGTACAAGCATCCACCATCAAGTCCAGCTAATTTTTTGTATTTTTAGTAAGACAGGTTCCACCATGTTGGCCAGGCTGGTCTTGAGTTCCTGGCCTCAATTGTTGGCCGCCTGGCCCTCCCAAAATTCAGGGATTACACTTGTGAGCCACCAAGCCTGGTCCCTGAGGGCTTTTTATTTATTTATTTTTTTTTAGATGGAGTCTCACACTGTCACCCAGGCTGGAGTGTAGTGGCACAATCTCAGCTCACTATCTCCACCTCCAGGGTTCAAGTGATTCTCCTGCCTCAGCCTCCAGAATAGCTGGATTACAGGCACCTGCCACCACACCCAGCTAATTTTTTTTGTATTTTTAGTAAAGAAGGAATTTCACCATGTTGGCCAGGCTGGTCTCAAACTCCTGACCTTAGGTGATCCACCCACCTTGGCCTTCCAAGTGCTGGGATTACAGGCATGAGCCACTGTGCCTGGCCAATGACTGAAATTTTTTTTTTGAGATGGAGTTTTGCTCTCGTTGCCCAGGTTGGAGTGCAATGGTGCAGTCTCAGCTCACCGCAACCTCTGCCTCCCATGTTCAAGTGATTCTCTTGCCTCAGCCTCCTGAATAGCTGGGATTACAAGCATGTACCACCACGCCAGGTTAATTTGTGTATTTTTAGTAGAGATGGGGTTTCTCCATGTTGGTCAGACTGGTCTCAAACTCCCGACTTCAGATGATCCGCCCACCTGGGCCTCCCAAAGTGCTGGGCTTATAGGAATGACCCCCGGTGCCCAGCCTTGAAATATCTTTAACATAGAACAAGGCCTTACAGTCTACATTGAGAAGTACTTTAAGCCTAGTAGAAAAATATATCACATAAATTCACTCTAAGATGTAATGAGAATGTTAAGGGAAACTGGTTGCCTGACAGAGGTAGGAAGAGATGTTTAAAAAATTACCAAAAGTCAGAAGTTCAGAAAAGAGAAAACATGATCATGAAACACAAACTTATTTTACTTCAAAATTTTGCCCAGCACTCTCTCTGGCTAGAGCATCTCAAAAAAGGAGAGAAGGGGCCAGGCGCGGTGGCTCAAGCCTGTAATCCCAGCACTTTGGGAGGCCGAGGCGGGTGGATCACGAGGTCAAGAGATCGAGACCATCCTGGTCAACATGGTGAAACCCCGTCTCTGCTAAAAATACAAAACATTAGCTGGGCATGGTGGCGCGTGCCTGTAATCCCAGCTACTCAGGAGGTTGAGGCAGGAGAATTGCCTGAACCCAGGAGGCGGAGGTTGCGGTGAGCCGAGATCGCGCCATTGCACTCCTCCAGCCTGGGTAACAAGAGTGAAACTCTGTCTCAAAAAAAAAA